CTCTCTCTCTCTCTCTCTCTCTCTCTCTCTCCCCCTCTCTCTCTCTGTGCAAACATGTGCACTCACCGCTGTCTTTCAGATTTTTAAATAAATTAGGAGTGGCCAGGAACTCTTCACTCGCTGTTCATCTTTCCTGCCTTGGTGAGCCTCCTGTGGACCCACGTTTTGTTTCTTTTTCTTTTTCTTTTTCTTTTGTTTTTCTACATCTGGTTCTCATTTCTTTTCGTAGTCTTGATTCACCTGTCAGTCCCAAGGCAAGGCAGCTCCTCCTCCCCTCTTTTGAAACAGCGCGTAGTTTATTTTTTTACACCTGTTTGTTGTTGACGTCTGTGTGTTGAGAGAGATTGTACTCTTTTGGTGGTCTATGTTGGCACGCCATTATTCTGATTGTTGATTGCATGCACATGTTTGTGCTCTCACCTGAACAGGAGATCACGTTTTTCGAAGAAGGAGAGCCTATCATTGATGGAGAGCCTGGCGATCTCAAGGTAAGTACAGTCAAAGTGTCAGCTTAGGGTTGAGGTCTGCATTCTCTCTTCAGATCTGGAAGTGATGGGTGTCTTATTCTTGTTCAAGTCAGATTCATGACTACTGTCTTCACTCGAACAGATCGCCGGGTCATTATGGCTGTATTTAGACTGAACGTTGCCCCAAAATACAGCTATAATGACCGGGTGTTCTCTTGGAGTGAACCGGTAGTGTGGAAAGGTATTCAGACGAGCATGGCAGATGGTCCAGCTCGAGTACGAGGTTGGTTTTCCCTGTGTCTTTTTTTTATGTCGTTCAACTGGATTCGAACTTGGGTCTGTATTTCAACAGTTTGACGGTGTACCAACTGAGCTAGGCCTGTTGGTATTTCCTGTGCCTTTTCTAAGTCGTTGATCTCGGCAGTGCAGAGAACATGAGTCTGGAACAGTACTGTGTTTGTTGCAGCATGCTATCCAGTGTGGCATTACTCTGCAATTATATCGGTCCCTTAGTTCATAGATATGTGACTATATGTAATATGTATGTATATTAATGTGTTAATCCATATGATTATAATATCATTATATGCATATTAGCCTATCAGCGGCAGGTTATCACAGTGTGCTGAGCCGTGTGATTGTGGCTGTGCGCATGCATGGCAGGCTTGTGGATCTGACGGATTTATATTGAAACATTGACGCGTCTGGAAAATGACGCTGTGGCATGAGCATCCCAGCCAAAATTGAGCTTCTTAGATGCCGCCATCTTGGAGATCATTTTGTACGAGGGAGGGCGCGGGGGGGGGAGATTTGGTGGGCAGAAGGTGGAGGCTGGACTTTTGGCATTAAGGTTCTGAAGGATGGGGGAGAGATGCGTCTACACGAATCACTCTGTATCGGGAATGAGCGAAGGCTGTCAAGGAGTTGAAAGTTCACTGAAAGTTCACTGAAAGTTCACTGAATCTTCACTGAAATTTCACTGAAATCAAAGTCTGATGAAGAAGAGGAAAAAGAAGTGTTAAGCACTTCAAAGGAAAGAAGAAGATTGAAGAAAAGAACAGTGGAGGCCCTGGAGGGGCAGCGTGTGAACAGAGCCTTTCATGTCCGAAGGGCACGTGGAGCAAATCTGCTTGACTTGATTTTATTGGTGCCTCTAAGTCCTTTTGGTTCTGTTTTCTATTGCTTCTTTGCGGGGTGGGTAATGCAGTTCGTTATCAAGACGATCCCACACGAGAAATTTGTTCGGCAGGGCGATGACTTACATGTCACAGTTCGCATACCGCTAGTAAGTGCAACTGCATCCTTCATCCTCCCTACATGCTCCTTATATGCTCCTTGAGGTCTACGATCCATGTGTATACTTTCCGATGAGTGAAGTACAAAGGGCAGCGATGGTTGTTTTTTTTTTTTTTTTTTTTTTTTTTTGGTAACCATCTGTCCTGTTTTGCAAAGAAGAGGATTGGGGGTCGTTATGGTTATGGGTTGCTTCTTTTCACATCAGGGATTCGCTATACTCACAATGGGATTTTTCGAGAGGAATCTGACCTTTCTGATCAGATATGTCGCGGAAACTGCTAATTTGTGGGAGTGGTAGTGGGCTCTTAGTGATAGCGGACGAGTGCCAAGAGCAGGACGAGAAGGAGAACAAGACGATGATCGTGGCAATGATGATGATGATGATGATGATGATGATGATGATGATGACGATGATGAAGATGATGAAGATGATGATGATGATGAAGATGATGATGATGATGAGGTGCCGGGTGCAACGGACACTGGTAGATGAAATAATAGCACAACATTTTGTGAAACATTGAAATAGCTGTGAAGTGCTCTTCCCCGCAGCACGCTGGCAGTTTAACCACCAGTACATGGCCCCAACCAAGTGCAGAATCCAATTGAGCCTCCTGTAAAATTTCGGAGGCTCGGGACAGGGTGTCCAAAAGGCCAGTAGGAAAAAAGAAAAGTTCCATGCCGTGGCGGCCTGGAGGGGCAGTAGGCCCAGCCCTGACCGGAAAAAAAATTTCCGCCCGCCCCCCAGGTGGGCCTTGTCCCGAGTCCCCTAACTTTTCGGAGAGGCTCATTTGCTTTCTCCAGATGTACTGGTGGTCTGAGGACAGAGGAATGACTGTTCCCTTTTGACCTTGTGCCACTAGCAACTTTTTTAGTATTCTCTCTCTCTCTCTCTTGTAAGTATGTGCGCATGCACGCTCTCACTCTTGTTTGCTCTTGCTCTCTCTCGCTCTCGCTCATGTTTCTTTTTTAGTATTCTCTCTCTCTCTCTCTCTCTCTCTCTCTCTCTCTCTCTCTCTCTCTCTCTCTCTCTCTTGTAAGTATGTGCGCATGCACGCTCTCACTCTCGTTTGCTCTTGCTCTCTCTCGCTCTCGCTCATGTTTGCTCTTCCTCACTCTCGCTTTCGCTCTCTCATACTAGCACCTTTTTTAGTGTTCACTCTCTCGCTCTCTCTGTCTCTCGCTTGCTCTTGGTCGCTCTCGTTCGCTCTTGCTCGCTCTCGTTCGCTCTTGCTCTCGCTCACTCTTGTTCTCTCTCTCTCCCCCGCTCTTTCTCCCTCTCTCACTCTCTGTTGCTCTTGTTTTCTCTCGCTCTTGCTCTCACGCGCTCTTGCTCTCGCTCGCTCTTGCTCTCGCTCGCTCTTGCTCTCGCTCGCTCTTGCTCTCGCTCGCTCTTGCTCTTGCTCTTGCTCTTGCTCTTGCTCTCTCTCTCTCTCACTCACTCTCGCTCGTTCTTGCTCTTGCTCTTGCTCTTGCTCTTGCTCTTGCTCTCTCTCTCTCTCTCTCTCT